TAATCATTCTTGAAGTTTCAGGACATAAAAATACTACTACTAGTTGTGCCTTTAGAAATATGTGAATTGTGTTGTAGTTGCTTTTACGTCTTGATAGAAAAGATCAATGTGTATGAATTTTAAGACATTAAAGTCCATGAAGTTCTAGTTATTAATGGTAGTGAATGCTCTTGTTTTACTGGCTTGTTGTGCTCGAGTAGTTTTATTATGGTGCGCCTTCTATTTTGCAGGCGTTGCCAGTGGACAAAATAGCAGAGAAGTTTGATCCGAACAGAAACTTCAGATACTGCTTTATTCAATGCTGTATGGGTAGACAGATGGTCACAAGAGTTTGGGGAAGCTGGCAGCGTATGTTGAGCAGGGGACTTGCATGGGAGATTGTTGAAAGCTTCTGACTTGGATGGGAGAAAAAAAGGACTCATCATTAATTGTTTGAATTGATGCTTGTTTTTAATCACCATAATTGTTTTTAATCACCATAATTAACAAAATATGTAGTATATATACGTGTAAAATAATGGTCTGTGTATAGCTAGAGTTGATGAATAACTTTTTTGTCAATGTAATTTATTTGGTTGTCAAACTCTTTTAGATATACTTAATCCGTTGTTGATTTGGTACATAGGAGGATTTGTCCTCGTGTTGTTGATTTGTTCATACGATCAAAATTGTATTTGGAAAGAATTGTGAAAACTAATATGAACTCGATAAGATTGATTTTAAAATATTTATTACCATGTCAACATGAGCCGAAGTTTAAACTTGTTTGCAACTTGATTAAGTTTGGTTGTAACTTGATGCTTGTTAATTCTTGTCAAAAGTTACTTACAAGGACAAAAATAAGGATTTGTCAAATTTAATTTAATTTGTGTTTTTTATATCTGGAAACAAATATTTCAAGATTTACCAATTTCAAAATTTATATATTATTTAATATTATATTAACATTAAACTACAAAATTTAGTGAATAGTTAGATTTCTTGAATAAAATATCATAAAAAAATATTCTCAAAATTTCAAAGTAAACGCGTTTTCCATTTTCATGTTTTCAGAAACAGCTTTTCAGAATTACAAAAAGAACGCATTTTCAAAAATTTCAAAACAGACACTCAAAACACATAACACAAAATGAATTCAAAACTCAAAACACAAAATTGAAACACAAAGAGAACGCCACCTAAAGGATTGGGTCGTGCCGGTTCGTTAGTTGAGCATAGATCTGTCCATTTTGACATCACTGCTTACTTGGAATTTACAATTTTTATCTACTTTTTAATTTTTAATCACATATTTTATCAATATTTATTCAAATTTACTAAAATAAAACTGATTTTTATAAAAAATAAAACATGGCTAAATGTCAATGATGGCATTGTCGAGAAAGAAAAAAGGGGAAAAAAAAAAATTTGTCAATGATGGCGCAAGAAAATTTGTAGCAATTATTCCATTTAATTTTTTGTTTCTTTAAGATACTTTTATATGGTATTGGTCAGAGAAGATGATCTATTAAGTGCATGTTTGGCAATTATTATTGTAAAAAAAGAGTTTTGAATAATAATTTTTAGGAGAATTAATGTGTTGTTAAAAAGTATGAAAATTTTTTAATATATATTTAAAATATTTTATTGTGTAAATACGTAATTAAAAATATTCCCGTAACAAATTATAAAATAAATTAATAGTGGTGTAACAAGTTCGCGCTTCTCCACGTTGAAAAAAGCGCACGTCATAATTATTCCATTTTTTCAAAGCGGCGCGTGTAGTGCACTGTACATATAATCCCATATTCTCGCTTCGCAGCTTCCAGCCTTCCACCGTCTTGGCTTAGACTCGTCGAAGAAGCGCGTGAAATCGCCATATAAAATGCTTCACCAGTAAGAAAGTGGCGTAGAACGACTCCACGACTAAGATAAGTTGGCAGCAACCTTTTCTATGCTCCTTTGGCCAGGCTTTTAAGAGAAACTACTTTTTTATACCTTCTCTTAAGGACTTGTTTGTTTGGACCAAAAATAGCAACTATGAGCTTAAAGATTAAAAAGTAAGCTTAAATCATAAGCAGGAAAGGCTTTTACTTAATGGGGACGAACAAACAGAGCCTTAAATTAAATATTCGTGGTCTCTGATAAAATTGGAAATCCCGCGCGAGCACTCAATTTCCATTGATATCTCCGCAACCATTTATCCATTTCTTATTTACACATTTCAAGCCCCAACTTTCTCTCTCTAAAATCACCTGTCCAATCCAAGCAAAATCTTTTGGTATGATATAAACATTTCTCTATATGTTTTGATTTATTTTCTTGGAATAAATTAATCAATTAGGGATCTTAGATGATTACGTCGCTGAAAAGCATCTGCTTTGGTGGTGCTTTAATAATTAATTAATCAGTTGTTTTTTCAGGCTCTGTATTATTCATTTAATTTTTTCTTTTCTATCATTTTTTTTTCCCTCTGCACAGGCTATTAATGTATAATGCTTTTGCATTTTAAGATATTAATTTATTCATTTACCTAACTGTTGCCTCGCGTGAATGATCTGTCGCACGTTGTTTCGTGTTTTTGATGATTCTCATCAAGCTATCCGAATCCGGACAGCATAAATACGTGGGTAATATCTAAATTTCTGGTAGAGTACATGTAAAGGTTGAATCTTGTTTGTTGGACATATATAGGCAGTTGGGGGTGCCATATCTTTCAAATACTCCAATCTTAGGATCTAGATTTGCTTCGTTTGAACTGCAAGGTCTGTATTGTTCTTAATTTTGGATTAACTGATTTTTTTTTTCTTCTAAAAGTGAATTCTCATTTTGAATGAGCTTCTTTACATATTCATTTAGATATCAATTTAGGATTGTTAGACAATACTTGGTAGTTGAACTTGGCAGTTTGAATTGTTAGTGTTGAAATGTAACTGTTCTAAGAGTGCCTTCTGGGAAGCGTTACTATTTATACTTTTGTTTAGGGCTTTTTGGGTAAGTATTCATTAGAAGAATTTCTATGCGACGCTTCAATACTTTCTTCACCAGTTAAGAAGTTCAATTAATGGCTGAATGTAATAAGTTATCCATTCTGTTTATTGTTGAATGCATCTTCAAGACATTGGTGATCCCATAATAAATTATTGATATCGATGACTTATTTTGGAGGGAGGGGTGGGGGAAATATGCCTAAGGATTGTTGCAATCGACTGCATATCATCAGTGTATAAGCAGAATTTTGGTCAAATAAGTACAGAAATATGTGAGCTGTTTGTCAACGTTCCTTCTTTCGTAGTGTTCTTGTATTTGGTTCACTAAAGATGTTTTGATGCGTGAATATTTCTATTCCTGATCAACTGATGACCTATATTTGGTGGGGGTGGGGATGAATCACGTGGATTTGTGATGTTTTTAACAATATCGTCGAGCTATTATTTTATCCTTAAATTTAGCAAAATAATTCTGGTATTCACTTGATCCTACCAGTCATTGACTTATTCTTTTTGAGCATTTTCTTTGTCCCCAATTTTTAGTGCTTCATAACAGTTAGAAATAATAAAAACAACTATTTTATTATTTTATTTTCAATAAACTCAGTCACCTACATAAATCATTTTCATGAGAAGTCCTATGGGTTGAAATGTTGCAACCATATCAAGCTGACAGGCAATGTTGTTCTAGCCTTCTAGGTGAAGATAACAGATTGAAATTAATATTTTGCTTCTCATCATTTTCTTTGCATAGAAGGGTTAGTGTTGCTTGCTTGCATTTCAAATACTGTTTCTCCATTCTTCTGAAAGACTTCGCTATTTAAAACTTGATTGTTAATGCATTTGGATCCTGTCTTTAGCCTGTATTTTCAGGTCAAAGTCGTGATGTACTTTAATGTCGTCATCTGTCATGTTGCTTATGGAATGAAAATCACAGTGCCTATTTTGATTTTCCCATCGCAAATTTTCAGTTTACTTTGCTCTTTCCCCTTGTGTTGACAATTAAGAATTGCTTTATCATGGTGATGTCCTACCCAAATTGGAAACAATCCCTCATATTTAAGTTTTCACTCCGGTGTGCAGATTTATTCAGGAAATGGCAAAAGGAACCAGGGGAAGACAAGGGATTGCTTCACGACAGTGCAGATCAACCCCATACCCTCTGCCAGCTACCAATCAAACCAAGGTGACAGAACAAAAGAAGTGCTCCAAAATCTTCGATAAGAAGGACTGGGAAGATGCAACTTGTTCTGTATGTATGGAGTGTCCCCATAATGCTGTTCTTCTATTGTGTTCCTCCCATGACAAAGGATGCCGTGCTTACATGTGTGGGACCAGCTTCCGCTATTCCAACTGCCTTGACCAGTACAAGAAAGCCTACACAAAAGTAACTCCTTCAGACACCCATCCACTAGGGTATGAGTCACTCGATAGTCAAGCCATGAGTCCATTATCCAACAGGAGTGTCGAGAATTGTGAGTTTATGGAACTTGCATGCCCCCTTTGTCGTGGCCAGGTGAAGGGATGGACTGTCTTTGAGCCTGCGCGAGAACATCTCAATGCCAAGAAGCGTAGCTGCATGCAAGATAGCTGCTCATTTATTGGAACATATAAAGAATTGCGGAAACATGTGAGGGTAGAGCACGCTTCCGCTAAGCCACGTGAGGTGGATCCCATTCTAGAACAGAAGTGGAGAAGGTTGGAGCGTGAGAGAGAGACACAAGATGTCATGAGCACGATAAGCTCATCAGTGCCAGGGGCAGTGTTCTTTGGGGACTATGTGATTGAAGGACGTCATTATGGGTTTAATTCAAGCGAAGAGGAACATTACCATGCAGATGGCATGGAGCAGGACGAGGGCTCCGAAGTGGGAATTGATCACAATTTAATGCGCGTCTTTCTTTTTTTCCAGGCATTTGGTTCTGCAGGTAGCAGCAGATCGCGCGAGAGAGATTCCGACCACACATTAGATAGAGGTGCTTCTGATTACTTTGATCAAGATGATGATGATTATTTTAGTGTAGATGATGGCAACTCTAACACATCACTGACTGGCCGTCTGCGTCGTCGAGGTAGAGTCCATTTGCGAAGAAATCGTAGAGAGGCAAATGGAAACTGAAGTAGATTTTAATGGGGTTAGACAAGGAAAGAAAATGTAACAGTGTAGATTCTAGGTCCTAGTCCGCGGGTACAAAAGTGTTAAAACATTTGTTCCTTTACATTTCCATGCTTATTTAATATTCCATACTTCATTGTTGGATGGCTCAAGAATATGGAGTATCCGATAAACACTTGTTAATATTAGTCTGCAATTTCCTGATTCACTTGTCTTGTGTTGTAAATTATTGAAATTCTTTGTGGATTTGCTAATGAAAATGTAAGTTCTCTTTCGTCTGGGTTACATTTATTTCTGGGAACAGTCGGCATTGTTTTACTACGAAATATGAATTTGTTTCTTTTCTATTTGATTTTGATGATGGAAAACTGCAGGAAAGTCGGAGCATTTAAAGATAATTTTCTGATAATCAGATTCAAGAGATTTTATTATCTAATTGCTCTCTCCTTTTTCCAGGTCCAAAGAGTGACTAGGATTAATTGCACCCAAAGAATGAACTTTGAACTGTAAGAACTTTATCGACATGCCCGCATTTCCTCTAAAAATATCGTAATTTTAATGGATCACATTATCAACTCAAAATGACTCCACGTCTTTTCCTGTTAAAGAAAGAGAAGTGGGGGGAAAGTGTATCGAAGAATGGAAAAAGTCACAAATTAGTTATCTTTTAGCTTAATCGATTTTGTTCGTTAGAAACAAACATATAATCAAACCCGTATATGATCCTTCGATTTTGAAAGATCATTCCATTTAGCCCGTGTGGTACATATTTTAAAAATTCATAATTTTTCCTATTTTTGAACTACACATTCTCCAAAAAATCACTTTTCAAGATTTTCATCAGACGAGCCCTTACTATCTTCATTTCATTTTATTTTTATGATCAATTTTTCATTAATTTATGCTACAATATGATTTTGACCTTTATAATTTCCATGATCCTAGGTTTTTTACTAGATTGTTGTCTTTCAAATTGTTTAAAACTCGGTCATTTGAGTAAATATTGAGAATAACCTTTCTGATTTTCTCCGGTGTTTGTTACCTATTTATATAGCCCATGTTTGGCTTAGCGAAAATCAAATATTAAATATACGTTGATAAAAATTGTATATCCAATTAAAAATATGTAGTTGAAAATAAATTTGAGAAAAAAATAAGAGCCAAATATAGACGTAATATTCTCAAAGCAAATATTAAGCCCTTGTTCGGCCTTAATTTTTTAAAATTCTTTTTATTTCTCAAATTCATTTTCAACTATACATTTCACGACTCGTAACTTTTATCAACTTTTTAACCATATATTTCAATAAATTTTGAGTAATGCTATTCGTAATCGCTCATTACGACAGTCGTCCTACGTAGCATATCGCATGTGATTAATTGATATATTAATTAATATAGTAGTTTTTTTATTAACTCATGTATCAAATAATCACATGTCATGTGTATGTCCCACATATGGCGACTGCTGTAGTGAACGACTGCAAATGACATTATTCATAACTTTTATCAAAATTTACTAAAAATCTGATTTCAAATACACCAAAAAGATGCTAACAGTTGTTCAATTTACTATGTACCTGACTACTGTCTGCATCATATTTTGAAAACAGCCAGATGGTTACAAGGCAATTGAAAATGAATATTGTACATATAAGCGTCCAATGGCATTCCTTGAAATTCAGATAGGTTAAACAAATGAATGCCTCTTTTTCGAAACAGCCAAATGGTTACAAGGCAATTGAAAATGAATATTGTACATAGAAGTGTCCAATGGCATTCCTTGAACTTCAGACAGGTTAAACAAATGAATGCCTGTTTTTGTTACTACAGTCCCATTGAGTACTGTGCAGTCCACATTACTCAACAAGCTAACTTGTGAGAAATAACAGTCCATGTACTGTTGGTTCTTCAATTAGTTAAAATCAGTGTAAAAATGCTTAACTAGAAAACAGGGGAGTGGCATACTATTACTAGCAAGGCTTCTAACACAACGCAAAACCTAGATTGCTCTCTAAGTTCAGTTCGTCCATTCAATAAATCAAACCATAAACATGAACTGCACCGTGTGCCTACCTTCATGAAAGTGATGTTGTCGATTCAGCTTTCTCATCTTCCAATAGCTTCAACTCATTGCGCCAACCTTCTAATTTGGCTATCTTCTCTAATTGTTCTGGCTGTACATCTTTCTCCACTGTTTTCTGCTGCTGAGCTTCAGTAAGCCGAATCTATATAAAAAACGCAGGATTTGTAAATCAAAATTTAAACGTTTCCAAATTCAAGAGTTGATACCAAGAAGCAAAATGCAATACAACGTGTTTTGCACACAATTGTGGGCCACAATAATCTGGTTGAATTTACTAACTAATGCAAAATACTGTGAAATCGCTACAACATTCATATTCACCATGGATACTATAAACTACCTGCTCAAACTGAGAGCCCTGAAGTAGTTGAAAACGGGAGTCTAGTGTAAATTGTACATCATCTTATTATCTTTCATCTCTTTATTCAAACTACAGTCTTTCTAATCTACAATTTGACATTAAAAAAAATATGATCGAAGATACGCATCAAAGTGCTTAAAGCAATTCCAACCACCAATCCTCAGAAAAAGAGCTTATATGACATAATTCGAAAATAAATATAAAATAGGATGACAACAAATTTATTTGCAGAAGCATAAACATTAGTTAGCTTGACAGGCACAGAAGCTTATAATCAAAAATAAACTCCAGATAGATGTGTTAATGTATCTTTGGCAAGTGATTTAATTGGAGATGAGTAGTACTGCTACATGTTCCAAATGAACAAAATCATAACTCAAGGTATGTCTGTTGGACATAATAATGCAGCAGAGTGAGGTATTTCAACATCCTAATACTCGTGCACACTACAACTACAACATATATTTACCTTCTTTTTCAGTGCTCGAATTTTTTTATCAATATCTTGAACCTGATCCTCTGGAGCGGAACACGCTGTTGAATTTGAAGGTGGTATGACCATACGAGTACTTGCACTAAGGGAGAGTTCATTCATCTTGGGTGCCACTGACTCCACATTTTCTTGAATGTCATTTGAATCTTCAGCAGGTAACATATCATTGTTCTCCAAATTTTTATCCTTGTCAAGAGCAGCCTGTCACAAATCATGTTTACCAGAACCTACTTAGAGATGTGTGTAAAGAGAGATTTTATCAGCATTCCAAATCCAGCACCAGGTGCTTCACATACAAGACAAGGGAGGTCTCTCAGGCTCTTGGAACACAGATAAAAATATATCAATGTGGAGTATAGATATAAATATCATGAAAACGGCAATAATATAATTCAAGTATCCGTCAATTGGTCTCGATGCCAAATCTTGATCTAATTTGTTTCCAATGTAGAACTGACTGATTATGTTACAGTTGCATATACATTTAACATAGGAATTGGGATGCGATACATGTACATCTTCTAAGCTGAGAAGGTTTGTCATTGCTGCAATTGGCTACTTGATCTTTTGCCAATCACAGATTGATTGTCAATGACAAAAGAATCAACGTAGTATTTCAAAACAGTACTTGGATCTGGGTAGTACCTGTTATCCCATTAAACTTCAATTTGATTTCTTATATCCAGGCATCAGAGAAAATTTAAATGAATCAATGAAGTTTATATATTGCATCTTACATTGCATTTGAAAAAGTACACTTTGAGTGAAATGTTCCACCTCGTCTTTTAGAAAGCATTTTGATACCAATTACAATATTCTGAACTATTGGAATCCATTGCCATGGAGTAACCTGCTTGTTTTGAAGATCTTAGATTTGTCATTCAAGTTATGAACACAAAAGTTTGTCGTTTTACCAGGTATATTTATGTTTTCATTTTCTTTTGTTTCTCTCTAGGAATTTTTTTTTAAAAAAAGAAGTTTTTCGGATATCATTTTTACTGTTTATCTTGGGTACCAAACAAGTTTGGGATTTCAGGTTTCTTTGATTTTGCTTTCCTTTTCCCTTACATTCTACTTACCTTCAATGGAATCACAATATCTAAGTCTATTGATGGACCAAAAATTGCTTTATTGAAAAACAGTGCAACAAAGTTTAAGGGACTGAAACCTAATAAACTGTTGTTTCAGTGGTACATCCAAGCATTGCAACAAATTTAAGGGACTGAAACCTAATAAACTGTTGTTTCAGTGGTACATCCAAGCATAGAACGCATCAGTAAATGAAGGGCTATTAAGCAAACATTAACTGTCTTAGTGAATGAAAATGTTTGGGGGACAACAAGATTCAAATAACCTCGATAATTTCTGAAGTAATGGACAAATCACCACTCAAAATAAGCATCTATGGGTCTACTGTTTTAGCCTTAATAATCAGAAGACCAAACTACCATTCATTTATGTGACTTATAACTTCCAGCCCATCCAAACCATTAAAAAGCTAGTATCTGACAACAAAACAAGATTCAAAACAACATAAAATTAGACGAGATAAGCTCATAACCTTCATGGCGTGGACTTCAAATTGGTGGATTTAAAATTTTAAATCAAGCCAACCCAGATTCATCAGTCTAGACACACCTCATTCGAAATCTATTAAGACCCTGTTTGAGCCACCTTATTGTAGAATGAGAATGAAAAATATAGCTGTTATTGGGGTCACACAAGAGATAGAAATTTTGAATTTAAATGTTGATGTGATGGATGACGATCATAATTTTCATTTTAATGAGAAAATAAGGTGGCCCAAACGGGGGCTAATTCAAAAACCCTTTGCCAGTTCATATCATTAACCAATCACAGGATAAGGAATGGATTTGAAACTAAAAAATTCAGAATCAGTAGTGCACACTCAAATCCATTGTCCAAATACAACCTAATAATATTAAAGATGTTTTTATTTCTTGAATCTCTCAAGCCGCTATCAGAAATCCAGGTATAATGTAATTGTTAGAAATTTCTTAAATCTGATCTCTGTTGTTCCGTCTGCGTAAAGTTGCACCAGCAGTTGAATAAGTACGTGGTCAACATATTGGTGCATTAAAACTGGTTTAATTTATACAGTACATACCCATGTTATTCCAATTATTCATGTCATCTACGTTGAGTGGATTATAAAGATCCATTCTTTATAGAATACTACATGATAGTACAACAAGAAGCTTATCAAGCTATCAGCACTACAACTAAAGACAGCTCAGCTTTACGATTAACACTCCAGAAAAAACAAGTAACCTACTAAAAATACCATTCCACAGAAAATTTGAGAAAACGAAAATAAAATTTTAAATTAAATTACTTACCTGTTGACGTTTTTCTTTCTTTCTCTCATTCCTTTTAGCCGATTTGGACTTAGGTTTGGCTTCCACCGCCGCAGGATCATACCCGGGCGGCACCTCCTGCGTGGACTCCAGTTCCTTCTTCCACTGTCACCACTGCCATCAATAAACACAACAACCCAAACAACAAATTTACACACACATCTATCTATCAGTAATTGTCATCACTTACAAGAGCGCCTTTGGATTGATAAATGGCGACTTCATCTTGAGGCGTATAACCCGCCCGAATTCGAATGGGCTTGCGGAGGGAACCGTCTGGGCGTCGAGTTGGGGCAAGGATTCTTTCCCCTTCTTTTAGGGTTTTGCCGAGTTCAGCTGCCAATTGCCTCACTTCCTCTTCTCCTCCATTTCTGCTCGTCGCCATTGCTATATTAGGATTGAATGTGTGTCCAAAATCTTGATGCTGGAAAATTTAGTATTGGGTTTGTAATTTAATGTTAATTAGAAAGGACAACGGTTTTATATGGAGGACTAATGAGTGATTAGTTTGTACTTTAATAGTCATAAATTCGTTTTATCTAACCAATCGACGCCACCCCCTAGTATTGCGTCGTGTTTGGGTGTACTAAAAGTGTTTATAGATAGAATAATGATATTCATTCCCGGGGTTGAGCCTCAATCTATGTGACAATTACATGATTATAAATGATAAATTTAATTAAATGAGTCATGTGATTTTGTATTTAAATAAATCTATCGTTTAATGTTATATAATTGTCACATAAATTGTGGTTCAACCCCAATGGGAACATTACTCTTATAAATATTCATATTCACTACTTGGTTCATAATAGAATTTTGCTACTTGTACACCAGAGTCTAAAGAGTATATAAATATTCATATTCACTACTTGTGATTCAAAATATGATTTTATTACTTGTACTCCGAGCCCCTCAAAATAGGGGCCCACAATTTTTTTACTGGGTGTGAGCATCTTATTGTGAGGGGAATGTACATCAGGGTGTCAACTAAAGCGTCCAAGTAGCACAACCTTTCAAAATAAGTCTAGCTTCATTATTTAATAATTTAATTTTTTTTTCCTTAAACTCATTTTTAACAACGCATTTCTCAATCAAATAATTTTACACGTAAACTTTAAATTTTTTTCTTACATTTGAATCACACATTTTTCAAAAATTACTATTATAAAATATATTCTTCCAAAAAATGGACTCAAAAAACAACTTTTAAACTTACGATAATTTTCTTTATCTTATCGTGTCATTAATGTTAGCTCATGTTTGGCCCCCCTTTTTAAAATTTGTCCTTTAAACTCGTTTTCAGACATACATTTTATAGTATTTGCAACTTTTCAACCATAAATTTAATTAATTTTTTTCAAACTCTACTAAAAAACTAAAGTTTATATACACCGAACAAGAGCTTAATTTTTATGATTAGATGGAATTCTTTTAGACGAATTCCATTCGATATTTTGGTCATCGTCGCAGAATACGCACTTGACTCACTTCTGAACTAGTATAGTTCAAAATAGAGAAAAATATCAGCAATTTTTTTTTTTTCAAAACCAAACAAGTTTTAATAGTATTTTTTGCACCAATAATTTGAGTTTTGATTTCAAATATACTTCATAAATGATAGTAGCATTTGCAACAAATAATAAAAAAAATAAAAAATGGGCTCATTTGATTGCAATTGTCAAGACATATCAGAATCCAGTAACCAAGAAAGGAAAATGATGACATTCACATAGAAATGATATTTGTTACAATCACATAGAAATGATGACATTCACAACCAAGAAATGATATTTATTACAATCACACTCACTCACACTCACATAGACCTCAGCAAACAAGGAACCGTACAAGAGCAAACAAGTTCCGTACAAAACTAGGAACCATGTGCTTTCACCCTTTACCTACGCTTTTAAAACTTGGTGGTGTCTGCAGATTGTTTTTTCCCTTTCTTGTTGCCAATGATTTGTGTGTTTAGACCTCTGCATGAGATGATCTGAAATTTTTTTTTTTGAAGATTCATTCCCTTTTGCACTCTTCGGTTTCTTCTTCTGGATCAGATGTCTCGCTGTCATCCTTCCTGTCTTGCTTTACTAAACTGATACCTTCCGAAGTTTCTCTACATAAGGATTCGGTTTCTTCATCGTCGATCTCGTCTCCCTTGCCGTCCGAATATGCATAACTGGTGGGAGTTATTGTAAAATTGAGCAAAAATAGTTCCACAGAATAAAATGAAAAAATAATAATAATAATAAATAAATCAGAGAACGTGTCATTGTAAACCTACTGACGTTTTTTTTATTTGGTTGAAGAAATTCTTCTCCAATTATATCTTACCACATCATGTGTATATAAATCATTATGTAAACCTATTATGTACATGTAGCACAATCAATTGCAATTTTACATCCAAGCACAGAAAGCATCAGTAAATTAAGAGCAACTGAGTAAAAAATAATTTTGTCTTATAGACTAAAAATATTTGGGGGACAACAAGATTCAAATAACCTCCATTAATTTCTACAGTATATAATGGACAAAAAGCACAATCACAACCCCTCAAAATAAGCATCTACAAGCACCTATGGATCTACTGTTTTAGCCATAATAATCAGAAGACCATATTACCATTCAATCACGTGACTCATAAATTTTGTCCCTCCAAACCATTAGAAAGCTAGTATCAAACAACAAGACAAGATTCAAAACAACATAAAATTAGACAAGATTAGTTCATAAGCTTCATGGCTTCATTTTGTTTTTGAACAGAGAGATTTTCAAATCCATTCCATGAAACTTTAAATTGGTAGGTTTGAATCAAGCCAATCCAGATTCATAAGTATGGAAACACCTCATTCAAACTCGATTAATTCAAAAATCCTTCGCCAATTCATTTCGTTTCATTAACCAATCACAAGTACTTAGTTAAAATATTGGTGCATCAACTTCCAACTTTACCCCTTTTTATAGATAATTATACTTATGCTGTAACACTGGTTTAACTTATTCAGGACTCACCCATGTACTTCCAATTCTATAATAAATGGATTATAAACAATGCATTCTTTAGAGAATAACACGACAAGAAGCTTATTAAGCTATCGGTATTACAACTACACGAAGCTCAACTTCACGATTGACAGCCCAGAAAAACAACACCTAATAAAATTATTATTCAACACGGAAAATTGAGAAAACGAAAAAATTAAATTAAATTAATGATTACCTGTTGACGTTTTTCTTTCTTTCTCTCATTCCTTTTAGCCGATTTGGACTTAGGTTTGGCCTCCACCACAGCCGAATCATACCCCGGCGGCACCTCCTGCGTGGCTTCCACTTCCTTCCTCCACTGTCACCACTCCCATCAATAAACACAAATTTATACACAGGTCTATCAGTAATTGTCATAAACAAGGATGTAAGTCACTTACAAGAGCGCCTCTGGATTGATAAATGGCGACTTCGTCTTGAGGCGTATAACCCGCCCGAATTCGTACGGGCTTGCGGAGGGAACCGTCGGGTCTTCGGGTCGGAGCGAGGAGTCTTTCCCCTTCTTTTAGGGTTTTGCCGAGTTCAGCTGTGAATTGACTCGCTTCCTCTTCTCCTCCTCTTCCATTTCTGCTTGTGGCCATTGCTATATTCGATTGATTGTGTGTCCAAAATCTTAAATCTTGATGCTGGAGAATTTAGTATTCGATTATTAAATCTTCAGTGTCACGATAATCAGTCAATTTGATTTTATTTCACCGTTACCATCTTATTTGTTTTATCTTAATTACCTAATTTCATATAATATTTCATCATAATCATCCAATTTGGTCTATTTTCCAGCTTTTGAAGATTGGAGATTATCCATTTTACCCTCATTTATGCATAATGCCTACGTTTGGAATGGGCGGTTGAGAGTTTGATAAGGGCAAAGATGAGAATTTTGTCTGTAAATGCGCTCTGCAAATTGTCCGAAAAGTACACATTTTTAATCAATAAAAAATGTGCATTTGAATGATAAACAATCCAATTTTTAATTTCCATTAGATTTTTAGCACGTCCAGACAGGGGCAAAGTATAAATCAAGTAGTCACTGATAGATTTAAACGGCGCTGGAGAATCAAGTCGTACATTTATATTTGTGAGATCTCCGAGTCTTGATTGGTTGGGGTTTATTAGAATAAATTTTGTAAAAAGTAATTTTGTATATGGTTAAAAAGTAGAAAAAAAATTATGAAATCACATGTGAAATTACGTTATTAAAAAAATATAAATAAAAAAATTGAAAAGGATAAATAAATGGGAATAGGGGCTGAATGTATATTAGGTTTTTTTGTTTATTCTAGTTTCTAACATTTAGCTCTGTTGGGCAATCACTTAATAAAACTCATTTTTATTTTTATTTTAATTTATGATCAATCACATTTTATGGGATCCACAATTTTTATCAACTTTTTAACCATACATTTCATTAATTTTTATCAAAATTTACTAAAAAAATATTTTAGCAAAACGAAACAGGAGCTTAATTTCAATAATACTACCAAGACTACTCGTGAAATAAACTACGTTAGAAAACTCAAAAACATGGTATTTGATCAAACTAAAAAAGATAAACTTAGTTGCAAGTTTCCCCTCTATAATAGATAAATTACCATTAATTTTGCCATTGGAAAAATAAAAATGGGCTCATTCAATAGCAATTATCAAGATACATCAGAATCCAGTAACCAAGAAATGATATAGTTACAATAACATTCACAGAGACCTCACAGAAGAGGTATCATACAAAGTTCTGCAAAGAGTTAATGGTCTTTGGTAAAGTACAAAACTAGGAACCAGTTGCTTTCACCCTTAACCTATACAATTTCAAAAAAATTGATGATGTTTGCAGACTGTTTATCCTTTTCTTGTTGCCAATGTCTTGGCATGAGATGATTTGCCAATATTGTTGTAGAGTCATTCTCTTTTACCCTCTTCTGTTTCTTCTTCTGGATCGGATGTCTCGATGTCATCCTTCCTGTCTTGCTTCACTAAACTGATAACTTTCGGAGTTTCTCTACATAAGGATTCGGTTTCTTCATTGTCCATCTCGTCTCCCTTGCCATCCGAATATGCATAACTGGCAGGAGTTGTCGTAAAATTGAGCCAAAATAGTTTCAAGGAATAAGGACAATATTCAGCGAAAGTGTAGATAATAAGTGTGTAATAGTTGTGAATGTGTAAATAATATTAATATTTGACAGACTTTAAATTATAAGGAAATTACTGAAACACAAACATACTAAACCTACCGCTGGGAGCTTTGTGATGGGGCCCAGAGATAGCAGATAACACACAGCAAGGCAAATGCAAGGATGTCCCAGAAAGCAGTGATAATCCAGGCACTCTGCCACCTCTCATTGAATGGATCTGTTGCTTTAAAGTAAACCTGCAATAATAAAAGTCACCAATTAATGATTTCATTTTCATAATGATTGTACGAGAGTTTCAAGAAGTTGGCCATTCAGTTTCTCTTTCTTCTCTTTTCCAGCCATTTCTCCTAGGTGCTCCAAAATTAGAAAGAGCTACCTATATTCCCATCACTAACCAATACTCGAGTAACAAAAACTCATAAATAGCATGCATTAGCTCGGGTTCAATTACTTTTCTTAGGCATAAAACATGTCAAGGGACTGAAGGTTTCACCAAAAATAATTTCTTAGACTAGATGGTCGGTATTCTAGCAGCACATTAGGATGGAATAGACTAGGCCGAGGTTTAAACGAGGAAAGGCTTATGGTTCGTTCTATGATTTATCATTCATGGACTTTGATAAGATCCATCCATTTAGCAGCACCTTAGTTTGGCATAGCCTTAGAATGGCGAGGTTCAAACGAGGAAAGTCTTACGGTGGATACCTAGGCACCTAGAGATGTGAAAGCACCGTCACGTGGATCGGGAACAATCGAACAACCATAACCAGTATTTCTTGGAATATCGGAATCTAATGCTACCAGAATAACCGACCCAAATATGTCTTTCTATATACAGATATTATCTTTAGTTTACCTTCAAAAAAAGGATATTTTCACAACAGTAATAGGTTTGTTCTTTAAATGATGGATAGCACTAAGATTTTATAAAGATGAGATGTCTAGATCCTAACTTTTAAATAGAGAAGAAATAAGAAGGGAGAATTTTAAAAAGAATGCTTACCCAACTCTAATCCTCTTTTTCATTAGATAGCTTTATTGCAAAAAGAAAAAAACACATTTCCTTCATAAAACATGGAACCACTGAGTCAGATATGGTTCATTTGCTTTTTCTAATCTTAAAATTAAAACAGTAAAACTCTATTCCGTAGTTATAATCGTGCAGATGTTGAACACAATAAAGAAGTCAGGAGATAATGAAAAATGTCCCGAAAAGAAAATATCGACTTGAAATGTGTTTCATTCATGGAGTATTTACCTCGTATCCTATCCACACAACTGATGCAATAACTGTAACTGCTAATGCATTTGAAAATTTTCTGTAAATATCCAATTTAATAGAACTCCTTTTAGCCTGAAAAAGAAAAAAATTATAGTCACAACATGAGATATGCTGAGTGCCAGATTAATCAGAGAAAAATCGAGATTTCATAACTAAATACCACAGTGAAGCTAAATAAGACTTCAAACTGAAAGTGACATGGTACCTGTAGTTGCTCTAGTGTCTTTGAAAGAGAAGTGAAAATCCACAAGATCAAAAAGGCATCCAAAAATGCAACAGGAAGTACCAGAAAAACTCTTGCTCGCCCTGCTATGTCATTTACAATTCCCACATACTCGGTGATGTTGAGCAGTTCTGATGCTAGGAAATAAGTTATTCCGAGGAGCAGCACCTTTGTTGTAAGACCACCAAGGGTTGGACGGACTACACCATAGCCCATTGCCACAGAAAGAATAAGAAGGCGCGAAACAGTTTTTCTTATAGCTCCAATTGTCACAACCCAGGTGGTGATTCCCACTGGCCTTGTTCCCGTGTTGTTAAAGTATGCGTAGTCTAGGTACCAGAAAGTCATCTCCAACAACCCAAGAGCAATAACGGAAGTAATGCAGTGCTGTAGTAGTAAAACATCATTCCAATGTCTCCCATACTGAAAGAACCAGATGAGACTGAGGATAGCATACCCGATGGACATAAATACATAAAATTTCATCAGGGGGGCCATTCTTCCAGGTAAATAGCCATCAGGATTTTTCCACACTGTCCTTCCCGTCACTCTCATTCCCTTCAGTTTCGGATCACATGTGATAAAGAATAAGTTGTACATCCCAGTCCTTTTTATGTTAACTTCCTTATTCTTTTTCATATGGGTGGATAGCATTTTTCCTCTAAAATGAACATTCACAACAGCCGGCCAGTTATTATCAGCTGGCGAAGATGATCTGATAACTTCTCCTTCTTTGCAACCTTCCAGCTTGGCAAGATCAGAGGTGCAACAAATAGACTTCTGTCCACCATAAGCAGATCCACCAATATTATCACGATCAGCAGCCTCAAATATTATAACTTGAACCAACCCACTGCTGTATGCCATATTTGGGTGCTGATCAGCAACTTCTTTACTCCTCCAAAATGTGATGTTCTCGAATCTAGATTAATTTGAACATTTCAGTTTATGTAACTAACGAGGATAACAATATCATAATCGAGTAAAATAAGTCATGCTTGCAGTGCTTTCATTTTCCTATCACGAACAAAAGAGAAAGAAAAGTAAAGTATTGCTCAGATTTAGTATATTTGTTGGATATTGGTTGCTAGCCAGAATAAATAAGTGCTTGCAAGTTTCCAAGATAAAGAAGTTGTGCATTTTCAGAATATAAAATATGTAATCCAATTCGCATAGATTTGACCAAAGGAGGCAATCCAATCTAAGCTCCCAATCTTTAGATTCAACAAAAATGAAGAGAAAACTCGCGTAATTAATGTATTCAACCCACCAATTATTCAGTTCAACCACCGACAGCCAGATTCAAAATTTTAGCTCACTACCAATGACCAGCTTATTTCAGTTTAGCGTCCTGAATTAATCTAGTAATGACAACGAAGCGTGTGAAAGCATCTAACACATTTTGTTTCCCCTCCACAATTTTCCCGACAACCAAAAATAAAGCTCGTAAAATTCGAATAATGCAGAAAAGTGTGAGGATAGATCTGATTAAATGTCATTAACTAATTAATAACTGCACGTGATAGAAATGAGTCTAACATGTAAATGTCAAACACATATACATCTCAGAGACTGTAATTACCGAATGTAAGAGCGACTATCAGGCGAAGCGGCGACGCCTTCACTGCCGCCGGAGAGCAAATAAGCAGTGCCGACTTCTTTGACTGGATCTCGATCATAGATGTGGATTGAGGCATCGGCTGATCTTGATGTTAATAATATTACTGAAAATAGCAATATGAGAATGGCGCATTGATTTGAAGTGCTGCTCGCGAAACCCATGGGGGCGCGAGACAAACACGAAATCCCTATTTTCTAGAGAGAGAAAGAGGTAGATCGGAGAATTTGGTGGAGCAAATAGAGGGTGACAGAGAGAGAGAGAGTAAACTAGAAATCAAGCAAGCGACAGGGATGATCTCGGCGAGAGGGATACGTGACCAGTCGCCTATTAAACCGTGGGACTATTGCTTTGTATGGAATTTATCGTGTTCGTGTTTGGCTAAACTTCAAAAAAATAAAATAAGTAAATGAAAATTCACTTAAAAATCGCCTCATTCTACACCCATTTTTTATCTCATTCTCATTTTTCTACAGAACTCATTTCTAAGAGTTATTTAAATCACTGCTCACTAACATTTAGCTCTGATTACTACTTGCTCACCCAAAAATAAATGGTTACTGGTTGCTCACTCACTTTTACAAAAAGTTACTCATCCATCACCCGATTGCTTCCATCCACCTATGTGGACAAAAAAATACACGTGGCGGATGAAAATTCGATGTGTCAACTAACTCCGTTAATTATTGCCACCTGGACATTGAATTCACGTTTTTCCCTTCAAATTACCAACACCCATTTCTTTACACCGAGCCCTAACTGTGAACCCATTTCTTCTCCTCCAACAAATTGATTTCTATCAAAATCAAGAAACAATCTCTCCTTCCAAACCAATCTTCACAAGCAAAAAAGGACTCGAAATCGCCCTCAAATTGTAACTGAAGAAGCAAATTTGGAGACAAATTTGGAAGAGGAACAGGAGTGACCCACAAGATCCACTAATGGCAGGCACTGAAGAAGCAAATTTGGGTGTATGAAGGGACAGTGGAACATGATATGAAGACTCGGATAATGGATTATTTGAACATCCCTGAGAATGAATATGCCTTGTTTTTACTGTGAGCCGTGGCTCTGCCTTTAAATTTCTAGCCGAGTCATACACTTTCCACACTAACAAAAGGTTGTTGACTATGTTTGATCATGAGAGCCAGTCGGTAATTGGATGGCTCAAAGTGCTAGAGAGAAAGGTGCTTAGGTTCATAGTGTATGGTTTAAATGGCCTACTCTTAAGCTCTGTTATACTGATCTGAGGAAGCAAATTTTGATCAAAAAAGGAGGAAGAAAGATTATGCAGCTGGTCTTTTTGTGTTTTCTGTCCAATCTTTTTGGCATGTTGTAAAAAAATGATTCCTTGAATTCGAATTAAGATACCTCAATTGTTGGAAAAGATTCTGTTGCATGTAGGAGCCTCTGTCTGCCGGTTTCTTTAACTATCTTTCAGTTGGAATCTATAACCAATTGGAGCCTATGTTAGTTGGTTAGTTTGAAACTGATTAGATGGTCCATTATGTCTATAAATAGGAGCCTTAGGTAGTGTTATAGAAGTAGATCTGGTTAGGGAATTCTGTAAAGTCTTATGTCAATTGAATGTAAAGTTTGATTCTTAATAGAGACTGAGGAAGAATTCTCTTCTTGTTCCATATCTTTTTCTTTCTTTCTGGTTTCATATTCTGTTTCTTCATTTCTTCTGTTGTTTTTCACATCCTGTTTCATCTTATTTTCTGTCAATTTTTTGCTGCATTGCTGGTGCTGTGTTCTTTCACAACCATCAACACTAATACACCTACCATTACAACCATTGAGCCGAATTCTTGCGAAGTGGAAATTAACTTGGTGTAATGTTAAACTTGATCAGATGCAGTTAGAATGAGATTTTGTTATTAATTTGTTGTTATGGTAATCATAGCTGAATTCCAAAATACTATTTTCACAAACTAATTATACATTTTGCTTCCTTGTGAAATGGCATTAACCAACATAAAACTAAACATAAATGTAACTAAGATGAACACAAAAGGAACCCATTCAATTTGAAACTGTAAAATACATCAGGTTTCCTTTGATGATTTCACAACCATCAACACTAATACACCTACCATTACAACCATTGAGCTGAAACAGAACACCACACACATTCCTACACCGTCAATATACGACTTACAAAACCACCAACCTACCAACTACCCTTGACCAAGCCAATAACCAAAGAACAAAAAGTTTCCATACGAGGAAAATTCTTAATGTTTAACATCACTCCATTCTTCTCAGAGCATATACATGCGGCCATTTACCCATCACAACATCTCCACACTGAGCGAGGCCGATAATAAAGAGCAAAGAGCAGCTAAATCCAAGCAAAATCCGAAAGCAAACACCATTTCATTTAGAAGCCTAAAACCTTATTTAGTGAACCCATTCTCGATATACCCCGCGATCATTATGGTCCATGCATATTCATTTCTCTCTAGCATTTCATCAAACAACAACCTACCTTTCAACAAACAAAATCAACAAACACACAATAATGAAACCACCTCCAAAATGGTCAGTTGATTGATCAAAGATTCCTGTTTCAAGAAGAATATTGTATACTGGAAGCATTATAAATGGGATTGGAGGCCCAGTAGGATAAAATGCAACAAGCCCATTATTATCCATCATCCATTTGATAGTGCAATCCATTCCTGATGATAATCTTCAGCCTGACTTGTTGTATGTTCAGACATAATTTTGCCTTTTCCATGGCCAATAACCGGATCAGCAGCAACTATTTTCTTTCCCCATCTTTCATTTGTCGACTTTGGGCTCTTTACTGATGGTCCATCCCAGAAACCACTGCGAGTATCAGAAGGGAACCTTGAAGTTGCAGGTCTTTCTTCCCCGTAAGCCTTGCGACCCTTTGATATCTTGCCATGGGAAATTATTACTATCCTGCAAGAATTAATGGTCTGCTTCCACAATCTTATTCATTGGGGAGAAGAAATTGTGTTGGAATTCAAAATTTCTATGAATCTAGGGTTGGGGATGATTTGGGGATGGAGAGAACGCACTGAGGAATGGGGAGAGAGTTTGGGGAAAAGAAATTGGAAAAGATATACGATTTAAATTAATAGCCACGTAGTCAATTTTTTACGGTGTTAGTTGCCACGTAATATTTCCGTCTGCCACGTAGAGAGTTGGATGGATGAAAGTGAAACGGGTGATGGATGGGTAATTTTTTCGAAAAGTGGGTGATCATTCAGTAACCATTTATTTTTGGGTGAGCAAGTAGTAACCAAAGCCAAATGTGGGTGATTGATGATTTAATTAACTCCATTTCTAACCACACATTCTCCAAATAAAATAATATTACACATAAATCCAAAAATTTTTCTTACTTTTTAACCACACATTCTTTACATCAATCAATATTCAAAAACTCATTCTTCAAAAGAATGGGTGCCAAACACCCACTTAATTTTTTATCGAGTGAATTATATCAGCGGTCATTCAACTTTAACATAAATGTAATTAGATCATTGAACTTCAATTTTAGCAATAGTCACCGAAGTTTAATTTAATTGCAATTAAGTCACTCAATTTGAATTTTGTCGGTCTACTTCATAGAAATGCTTAGTTTGCCATGAAATTAACTTTTGCTGATGTGGCCATCGACATGGACTCGCCACATAAGCCATTTTATTAGAAGAAATATGCTTTGAGAGATGCTATAAAAATAGGTTCAAAATAGGTTCAATGACAGATTTTCAAACAAATGGACACTTGGTGAATTCTTATTGGAAGTTTAAAAAAATAATACATAACATTGCCAATCAGGGGCTAACATTTCAGCACTTGGAACAGGCTCCTACCTGTTCGTTTGGCTTTTTCCAAATGCTTTTACCGACAAAAAATTAATAATAATAACAATAAATAAAATGAAAAATACAATGTCTTCATCTTCTCCCTGTCCCCACCATCAACAACCTCATCTTTCCTTCCACCCCAAAAACCTAAAATTCAGTCATCGCCAATATCCAACCACCACCCATTTTGAAATTCTTACTTCATTCTGCTTTTGTCCTACAACCTAGTTTCTCCAATGAATGACATTCATATGAAACAATTACTTCCGTTAGAAGAACGGATACGAAACAAAATACCCCAACAACATTGAGTTAGTAAAAGAACCATGTGACTGACAATAGAGATATGACTGGTTTCACTTCCCTTCGGATCTAGACATATTCTTGCACCCCTATTGAATAGGCACATTCTTGCACAGCTGCACAATCTCTATGCACCCTTGCCTAAATGCAACAATCAAATGTGCATCCATGCCACACCAACATTCTGCCTTTTTGTAAGTGCTGCCACTACATGCACGTCCGCACCAAGGCTTTGACAAAAGGTAAGGCCACCATAATAAACACAGGGCAATCATAAAACACCACCCGTTAGAAGGTCGAAATCACACGTTGGTCAAAAATCACCTCAAACCGACACCTAGGGCACGAGGAGAATAAAGTTGAATATTAAAGAAGATCACTATTTTTGTTGTTAACCATCATCATAAGAATTCATGCCCAATCTTGTCCTCGTGACTCTCGAGCTCCTCCCTTTGTTGAGAGACACAAGATATGATGGGTTCCACTCGTCCTTCTAACGTAGACACGCTTGATTTGGAATGTGGTGGTGCATTTCACACGTTCCTCGAGCCTCACCAAGCAACTTCCCGTCTTTTTTTTCTTTTATTGAATGAACAAGTTTGCTCGATATTTTTTTTTTTCCTCTTCCTATTTGCTTTTTCACTTTTAAGTGTCCTATTGTTTGGAAAGTGAGCATTGCACAAATGACTCGATCCCAAATAAACTGTACACTTCACAAAACACACACTCGTTATAATAATAAAAAAAAACAATTACGCTCCTCACACAAGTTTATAAACCCCAATTTCCCTTAAATTTGATTTGATTTGATTTAACGTGGGTCATCCATCCGACCCGCTTTATAAAAGAACAGGAGCTGTCCTCCGGCGTGCAGCAGCCCGGAAGGATAAACATCCGGCGGCGGTAGCTTAGAAAACCAGATGAGGACCAGACCAACAGCCGTGTTCATGGCCTTTGGCACCAAAGGCGACGTATTTCCCATCGCTGTAACTCTCTCTCTCTCTATTTCTACTCCTCATACTTGTTGTATACACGTATATATAGGGGAGAAATGAGCGCGAGTTACCTCCCCTACCCTCCGATATACCATTTCTCTTCCTATTTCCCGTAGAGATCGTTTATTTAATAATTACAAGATGTTATTTTTATTAATTGCATATGCAGGCTATAGCTGCTGCGTTTGCTTCTGATCAGCATCAGTATGACGTTGCATTCATAACCCATTCAGCACATGAGGTTAGCTTACTGTTAATAATAATTGTAAACTGATTGTTTCGGCCAGTTGGATAAAGTATTAATTTTTATGAAATGCAACATGATTTATAGTAGCCCATAATCACTGGTCAAATGTATCTGCTGAAATTGCATGGTGGAATGCAACTGAGCTTTGTTTTAACCAGTTTTACAAGACATACAATTGATTGAACATGGCACTTTTACCCAAGAAACGGTTATATTTTCAGATAAAGTTTTTGAATTCCAATTTCAAGCCCCCATTGCCATGCCATTGCATATGGCACAGATTTGATTCTGTGGAAAGGCAGGCATGGAGCAAATGTTGTGTACAAGAACTTATTTCTGTAGACTTTTCGGTTTCAATGAAAATGGTTTGTGATCCGTCACATTTTTTAAATGCTAGATGTGCTAGATGCTATGCGTCAACACTATGTAAATGCTGAAACGATGAGGAAAAGCACATGAAATGAAAAAAAAGAAATTCTCAGGATTAGATCTCCACGGTTTATCATAAATTTGTTGTTTTGCTCTTTCTGAAACAAGACACTGCCCTAGCAGCAATTTCCCATAATGACCTTATGACTGCAAATTCAGTTTGAAGGAAGTTCAATATTGGTGTCCGTTTTCCAGTACTGTTTAATTTTGTTTAATATATCTGTAGAAGTTCAGTTCATGTTTTATCTTTGCTATTTGGAATTCCATCAACATTCAGCCATAACGGCTACACTTTTTTTTTTTTTTTTTCAGAACCTGGGAGTGCAGTTGGGAGCAAAGAGAGTTGCATATTTTCCATTTTCATCACCACCAGTTCTATCTCCTTTTCAAGATAGTGATACTTTTTTTTTTTTTTTGACAGAACCTGGGAGTGCAGTTGGGAGCAAAGAGAGTTGCATATTTTCCAGTTTCATCACCACCAGTTCTATCTCCTTATCAAGATAGTGATACTGCAGGTCTTGAGAGCTGATGTTTCTCTAGCTACAACTAGCAAAATGGAAAGCAAGTTTTCCATATTCAGTTTTAAAAACAATGAACATGTTATGACCTTACCATCTAAAATTGCTTCTGTTTTTCTAGGCTCCACAAAGGTCTCCTTTTCTATGCAGAAGGAGGAAATCACTAGAAAACAAAGAAAGGAATGTGTTTCAATCGTTGAAAGGATATTTGGAGAGAGCCCAAGCTTGGAGGGTGATGTTATCATTATAAATTTCTTTGCTCTGGTACATTTAGGATAAAGGTTCTACACTGTTGATGGTTGCATATATATTTTTTAATCTTAAAATACATAGAACCAAAATCTAAAGGAAATTCAAGTACTCTGCAGAAGAAAAGAAAAAAAATGTACGACCCTTATGAGCACATACTTGTTTTATGGATCCTTTGATCATTATGACATGGAGAAAAGAATATTGGAATTTCTCAATAATTGGGAAAGAAAGAGACCAATCTTTTTAATGGTCTGCTCCAAAAATTTTAGACTGAAGTCATGAGCACGTGTATGGACTTACAGAATAAGGCTTAAAATTTAGTCTCTGAATTTTAAAAAGGTCTGTCATCCCCCATCCTGCTGTTTCTGAAGAGTTTAACACGAAAGAAATTTGTATTTTGTTAATTAAGACACGTGTATAATTTAATTGCCTGGCAAAGACACTGCTACTCTTATTCCGTTTCACTCAAAGAAAGCACCATGGCCCATAATACTAGAACTCACTCTCCTGTGGCTTTATCGCCTATCATTTATTCTCTCTCTTTGGCCCACTATCTCAGTATCTCTCCATTCACGCATACACTCAATCCTATATTTATAGGTGGTGAAGTAGGTGCAGTAACTAACTTTGTTAGTCAAGATACTATTATTAGTATGTAATTAAAAATTGTAGCTAGCATATTCATTTATGGTGGTGAAGGAACAAAACATAAACCATTCTTGGAGCTTCGGCAACTACAAAAAATTCTAGAATTAGGAAAATAAACAGTTTTCTTAAATCAGTTCTGCATCTTCAATTTTTAATCCTTAACAACTCATGTTGGCTGGTTGAAGCTAGTTGGTTAGTTGATGCAACTTCTATTGTCCAAAATAATTAAAGGAAACACCATTTGATTAAATGAGTTCTCCCGAAAACAGTAGATCAAAACTATGGTTGGGAAATTTTCCCTGCTTTTGATAAAGAGTCTAGAAGTGATGCATAAAAATTTAGGTACAAGTACGAGGGTATATTACCTGAATAAATTTTTCTTTGCTTTCTGGTTCAGGAAGGTTGGAGTCTTGCTGAACTGTTTCGTGTCCGCTGTGTTGCTGCTGCTCCTTATGTTGTTCCTTACAGGTGTTGCAAACCTTTCATTTTATATTGCCGAACTCTATTTACTTGTTATTCCTTTCATATTAAAGCCATAACTATGATTGTCCTTGTTGCCTACCATTTGCAACAGTACAATCAAGTTCTATAAACTTTGATTTAGGTTCTTTGAAGGTACAATTCCTTCTGAACATCTATGCTTTGTCTTATGAGTTAAACCTGTATTTGGTTTCAGTTGCTTGTACAATTTTTATGAGATCCGAAGACAGCTCTTGGTAAACAGAGCTATTCTTCTTGGGTCTTTGAAAGAGAACTTAATGCCTAAATGATGAGTGGATGGTGCCTGATTAGGTGCTGTCTTTTCTGCTTTTTTAGGAACTCTTTTAGGTAGCCACATCGTCATAAAACTGGAGACATATCGTCCTTGGCCTTTGGCACTTTTAATCAATAGCTTTATCTATATGAAATGTATTAACCATTACTTTCTGGGTAACTAGTCATATGGAGAATATAGTTCTAAAAATTCATTGTTCACGAAACAAAGTTAAAAATAATGTGGCAGATAATTTTTTGGGCAAATTACATGAACCTTCATTGAGATCGTGACAATTACAAGAAACACCCCCACTTGTTTTAAAAATTACAGAAACCTCCCATATTAGTATTTCCCATTTTGCCATGTTCTCTTATGCTACATATAAAACTATATTTGTTTCTTATTTGTCTTTTTTTCATAAATAATTAATTCAATATTTTTGTCAAAATTATTTTTTCTTGGAAATGAATAAGATTGATCCAAGATTTTCTATTGAAACAGTATTACATAAATTTAATGATATTTATTTTAGTTAAAAATGATGTTTGTGTGTAAATAAAAAAATTTAAGAAATGAGAAAGAAAAAAAAAAGGAGAAAGAGGATACTTAAATATTATCTAATAATAGTTTCAAATTATAATATAAATGTTTAAGGGTAAAATAGGAATTAAAAATTTACTTTTGGCTGACAGGGTGAAATCCGTCACAGAAAACAAACTTGAAGAGAGGTTTTTGTAAATTTTAAATCATAATGGGGGTGTCTCTGTAATTGTCATAAACCTCAGGGGAGGTTATATAATTTACTCTAATTCTTTTCTAGCCTTTTTGGTTACCTAGGGAAAGAAGGGGGTGTGAGGTGGCTTGTTACCTGGAGCAAGGGAAGCTCTGGGTTTTAAAGGCTATTACTAATGCTTTCAAGAGTCAAATTATTTTAGTTCAGCTTGAGCCAAGGGACAAGTTTTTATGGTTTGATAGGGATGGTTGAGAATTTAAATGTTGGTTTTACTTGTTATTTACATACATGTTTGCAATTAGATCAAACTTTCGCCGGTTAAATTTCGCGAGTAAATTGTACCACGGATATTTTGGTTAAGATTGCTACTGTATGGGGAACATGGCATAAAATGTGCGAGGTGGTGAAGTTTAGGCTTTAGAACTCCATGATATCATGGTACTTATTCTTTCACTGTGTGAGATGCCTGAGATTTCATTTTTCTGGAGCGATCTCCGTCTTTCAATATATTAACTTTCCTAAACCTCATTACCAAGAGAGTGGGGAAGATAGCTATTTGAATATTCCTGGTACAGTGAAATGTTGTTTCTTCTCTTCTCCTTAGCATTTTTCTTCCACATATTATAATAACTTTTCTTTCTGTCTAATGCATAAACACGCACTTTTACAACACGTAAATACACATTCATACATGTCTTTTCCCTGTTAAGGTACCCTTTTTTTATTGATAGCTTCTTCCCTACCCTTATTTGTCCTTGAGTCCAATGTAATTTATCAAAGAAATAACATTTGTTTATAATGTTAAATTCTTTTTTTATTTCCATGCAACCAGTGCCCCCTCCTCTTTTGAATGTCAATTCAGGAAAGAATTTCCTCTTCTGTATAAATATCTTAAAGAAGCTCCAGCAGATATGGTAAGAGATGAGATAATTTTCAATTTGCAAATCATGCTTCCTTTGTTCTTTTTCATTTTTGGACCAGAATGATTCTAACGTGAACAGACTTTTAGAAGCAACATCTCCTCCACCTCATCTCTATGTAGAAAGAGATTTGGGTGGAGGAGATGTTCTCTGTTTGATGTTTACAACTAACCGGTTGTATGTCTTTTTTTTTTTTTTTATCGTAGGTTGGCTGGGAAGATGTTCTCCACTGGATGTGGCCACTTTTTACAGATGATTGGGGATTGTGGAGAAGTCTTGATCTGAAGCTGAGCGCCTGTCCTTTCACGGTTTGTTTTATGGTCCATAAAATGTTTCTTGTGATGTTTTTATAGATGGAATGGGTAAGGTATTAGTGTTTATTTACTAACTTCATGCATTTTTATTGCTTGGGCTGTTTGTCTTTGGATCCAGGATCCTGTAACTGGCCTTCCGACTTGGCATGAGAGGCCTTCATCTCCACTGCTATTGTAAGTGTATTCTCCATGTAAAAGCCATAATGGAACACTGTAAAATTTTACAAGAAACAGTTTGGGGAAATTTAGAATAATACAATGTAATTCTGTTGGCATCCCAAAATTCACTTGAAGAGCGTTCATTTTTTGTGGTTTTTTAGAGATTCAAAAAATTTGCTCTGAAGTTTGTTTTGAATCTGTGTTTCTTTTTTTGATTAGTTGTATAGCTTCATGTTTTGTATCTTTTTTATCTGAAGTTCTGAATAGGACATGAAAAAATATCTTTTAAGAAAGACCAAGTGGTGGCACGTTGGTTGATGTTGAGTGCTGAGCTCTTCTTGATAAATGACATCAGACCAAGCAACTCTCTCTCTCTCTCTCTCTCACACACACACACACATTGATTTTTTCTCTCTTTCCTCTCTATCTCACTCTCTTGCTCATTCTTCCTATCTCTATTTTCTTTCTCACTGTACTCAGCAATTCTTTACATGTATCTTCGGTTAAAAGGTTACTAAAATGTGAGTGTATTATAATATTTTCTGATCCCTTGCTGCCTTCACTGGCAGGTATGGATTTAGCAAAGAAATTGTTGAGTGCCCTGGTAATTTCTAATGTATTTTGTTGTCTTTAATTCCATGATTATAAAGCTAGCTGCTTCCCTGATTGTGGTAAATCTTGTTGCCCCTAAGTTGCTGTTTGTGGATTTTATATTTATTCCTTCAGTGAAATGTATTTTTTAAGATAAATTTTTGAATTTTAGGTTTTATCGCAAATAAATTCATTGTGTGCAAAATGTTATTCGAGATATCTTTATGCAATAATTTTACTCGGAACAGGAAATCATAGAGTAATTCTTATCATGTGGTTTTCATTCATTGAGGTTTTTCTAGACACACCTGAATAAAAAATAGTGATTGTGTATGAAAGAAGCTGAAGCTGATTGCTTAGTATATCTGCAAAAGATCCACTCAAAATCTTCATGATATCAATGCTGTTTAGAGCAGAACAATGATCAGATTAGGAAATCCTTGCTATAAATCATACACATGCTTGAGTGGAATCATCTCTGTACAGCCTTGTTTGATCAATGGTTTTTTTATTGGTGTAAAGAGGGTGGTATCACTGAGATTTTATTAAAATGTTCTCACTTGTGGCGGAGGAATACCGTGGATCCAAATGATATCAATGAAATCAATAAATAAGGAAGTATTACTTTCCTAACGGTGAAAGTAAAGAATAAAAGGAAAGCATTAAAAAATGAGTACTACTTTCCTTACAAAAAGAACAAGTTAAAGCAAAAATAAAAGTAAAAGCAACATACAAATACAAATACCAAAACTCTAGTGCTGGGCAAACCTTACCTGTCAATCTGAACAAGCGCCCTGATATGTCGTGGTAGGTCGGCTGGTCCATATTCCTGGTATCTAAGATAATGTCAATTCTCGGTAGCAAGTGCATCTGCAACTTGGTTCTCCTCTCTGAAGATGTGGGAGACTATATCTCTGTCAAATGAAACGATATCTGCAATCTGTCTGAGTATCCCCTGGATAGGCCACGATCCGCTACCTCTGGTGATGCAGTGAATGGCAACAGTCGAATCTGCCTCAATCCAAATATCTGACAAACTAAGATCTCTAGCCAATAGTATCCCATCACGAATAACCATGAGTTCCGCCTCTAATATCATGCATTGTCCATATGAAGCTGAGAAAACCCTAAGTAGTCCCTGACGATGCCTCCCCCGCTTGCAAACTCATCATTGACACAACCATTGGTATTGATCTTAACAGATCCAAATGATAGAAAGTGCCACCAAACCATGATAGGGGGAGCAGATGGAGGGAGAGTCAAAGAAATACCAAAAAAGTATAGCAAGTTGCATGTCATTACGCCAATGTAACGGTCGAAATAGTTCACCAATATGGAGGAAGGATACCATACGATGAACTCTTTAGATAATACGTCTCGAGCTCATACGTGTGTTCATGTGTTTTGCATTATGCCTCTCAATCCAAAGAAATCAGAAAATCAATAGAGGAATAATGATGCGAAGGTGTCCAATCCTTGCAAACTGTCCAGAATACCTCTATTTCAGAAATCTCTGTCTGACACTCTCTCCTATACTCATGGTAATCTGAAATAAAGCCCCTAAAATATTGCCAAACATGATTTAAAATACTGCTACTACAAGTAAAAATATGGGTGATGGTCTCAATCTCAGAACAACACTGATATCGAGAAGCCAAATGACTGCCGATCCTCCTCTGGATAATGACATCAATTGGTATTAAATCATGTCATAGTCTCCAACAGAAGAACGAAACGGTAGTAGGTATGATAGGGCTCCATAGAAGGTGAAATGAATCATGAACTGGTCTGCTAGAGCGGATCAGCTGCATGCTGATTTAGTATTAAATCTTCCATCTGATGTGGCCCTCCAGAAAATACGATACGAGACATCAAGACATAGTGGAATGGTCGCGATATGCTTTGTCATAGCTGATGGAAGAGCCTGAAGTAATCGCCCAAAATCTCATCCAGTCTCCTCGAAAAAGTCTTGCACCCTCACGGATGTATGCTGTCTATGTGGAAAAATAGATGTCAATGTAGAATTACCCATCCAACAATCATACCAAAAGAAGATCTGCTCTATCCCAAGACTATGTTTTTGCAATATGGTTATTCTAGTTTAGTGGGAGCTAGGATTGTATATATGCATCAATGTTTATATAGGGGTTTTTTTGTGTATCTTGATGTAACTCCAAAATCCAGTCGTCGTTTAACAAGTCCGTGGGAGTATGATTTGTTGATATTAAAGAAATTATAATTTGAGGAGAATATCAAATTGATGCTTGAAAAGTGTCTTGCTCAAAGAGCTAACCTCTGAAAAGATGCCAAAAAATATACAAATTCAGCCAGTTCCAGGTCGTCTTATATAACATATAAATTCATCTTAATCATGAAAATCTTGTTCTTGTATTTTCACATACATTTTTCTATATAAATATATTATACGTTTACCATTCTTGCCAATCGACCTTCCCGGTCAAGGATTCTAAGCTTGTGTTTCAGTTTAATGTAACTATGCACCAGCCATATCTCGCCATCAGTTTTTGGCTTAATACCAGAATCTGTTTTAAATGATCAAAGAACTTTGAAATTGCAGAAAATAGTTAATTACATCAAGTTCAGGTCAAGATTGTAAAATAAGTATTACTCTGGAAAAAGGCTATGAAATTCATATTGTCATAGTTTGAGTATCCCTTTATATAACCTACAACCTTTTGTTTCATCCATATACTTGACCAACTGAAGCTCTGGCTTTGCAAGTATACATGTTTTATTCTTTGCTGTTTATGTGAAAGTTGAATAATACTAAATGAAGATTGTTGCAAATCGATGATTATTTGGATCTCTTGGTATCCAGTACTTGTATTGTAACCTGTCAGCACTCCCAAAGGTGCTAAGATGATCTTGTTTTTAACAATGTTGACTTCAGCTTTCCGTGTTATTTTTTGCATATTCGTTTACCACGTTTCTAATCTATATATGAAGGGTTTTTTTTTTTTACCTCATTAGAAAACCAGAAAGCAGTAAAGCACTTGGTTTGCATTCTCCTTCTCAGAAAATTTTTTGTTATCTTTATTTGTTTCTGTTTCTCTTTTGCAATGCTAATGTTTGGACTGGTTTAGGTTACTGGCCATCAAGAGTTCGGGTTTGTGGCTTTTGGTTTCTTCCTGCTGAATGGCAGTTCTCTTGCTTCAGTTGTGCAGATGCTTCATATTTAATTTCTTCAGAGAAGTTGAACGTCCAAGCCAAGTTGTGTTCGGCTCACAGCAAGTTACAACATTTTTTGGATTGTTCCCCTGAGAAACCTGTTTTCATAAGTCTGAGTTCAGTTGGTAGGTGAGTCCATACATTACTTATTTTTTTAACATTCATTTTCACAGTTTCGTTTGTTGACTCAATTGTAGTTGGACTCTTGAAATGTGCAGCATACCTAGTGATATGAATGCTTTTCTTGCATGTTCATTGGCTGTAATACGAGGGTTTATGTTGTTATGATGTAATCTTATCCTATTTCTGCTGCTGTATTTTTTACTTGGGTGAAGTGTAAGTGTGTAACATTTACTTTTAAATTGTGTATTGATTTTTTGTAGAATGCTAATAATCATGATATGCTGAATTTTGGGGATGGACTTTAGTTTAGAATCTTCTGGATTTAGCTGTATAAATATCTGAATGAGTAAATTCCATAAACTCTTACTTTTTTATTCGATTACCTTCAAATTCATATTACAATATGTTTACATGAAATATATATACCTATATATAACAATACCACTTCCCATCATGGGATGCCATTCATATGAATATCCTTGCTCAAATTTCGTATTAATTGGAGAGTGATCCATCATCAAGCAATGGTTATTCTGACTGATAGAACTGTGGATTAGGGCATTTCCTTGATGTTGCCCTGAATTTGACGAGCGTGATCATGTAACCCAAGTGCTAATTCGAAATTGTTTTTCCTACAACAGTTCCTGATGGGACTTACTGTATGGTCTTGTTCAGTTATATTGGGTGTGATTAAATCATTTCTCATTTTCGAATGCATAGAATGGTAAATGCTTAACTTATCGAGCATCCACTTGTATGCACATAATTTAGTTCACTGTTCTTAGTGTTGTATGGTGAATTTTGATCGTGGACAAGGTAGTTTTCGAAATTTAGAAATCTTAAATCTATTATTTTTAACAAAAATGACGTCTTATCTGCAGCATGGGGTTTTTAAGGAACCCTAAAGCATTTCTTCGGGTCCTTGGAGATGTGTTAGATATTACAAGTCGCAGCTTTATTTTGTTCTCAGCTGGTTATGAACCTTTAGATGTCACCATCAAAATGTTTGCTGGAAAAGCACCATCAGCTTCAGAACAAGTGCAATCCAGTAAAGATGAAACACTCTTATTCGATGACCGGCTCCTTTGCTTTTCTGGGTGAGTACTTGCTCAAATTCATGGTTTTACACTTAGGGACCAATACATGGAGTAAATTCGATAGAAAGTGCAGGAGGGAGAGCACCGATAGTTGAGAATTAAATATAGGAGAAGTGAATGTTTTTGGAGTGCATATAAATAAACAATAATTAACTTGATAGAGAATTACATAAAGTGATACCACTAAAAAAAGATACTAAAAACAATTTTTTTTGGTATAAAATGTTGGTTGAATATAAATACATTGGAGATTTGATTCTTCACCTGCTCTGCGACAGTTAGTCAAATGCGTACTCAACTGCCATCTGGCAAACTGCACATGGCATCAATTGTCTGAAGCATGCTCGATTACTCTAACTGTGTATACAAACACTTGGCAGTTATGTGTTCATTTGTGTATTTGAATTGAAACAGAAATCTAAGTTAAGTGCCTGTTAGACATTCATTACTTTATTTCAGTGTTCTAAAAAACTTAAAGGGTGGCTAGGCTTGGAGGCCAAGCTTCAAGCTTTACGAGCCTAGGCAAAGCTTAGGCGTAAAAAAGCGTTTTTAATTTTTAATTCTTAATCATTGTAAAAAAATTCAATAATTCAAATAATACATAGCAAACATCTAAAAGTATAAAATACTGTATTTACTTAATAATTCATACATAAAGATAAGTTTCAAACATAATTACATAACGTAGATAACTTGTAGCTTAAAACTTATCTAACTTAACTTTTTATCGGACTCTAATTCAATATCTTTTTCTTCTTCATCTAATTCGTCATTCGTATCGTCCGATACAAAATCATCATTCTCGGGTTCTCTTATTTCATTTTGATCATTTCTTATACATATCGATACCCAAATCAATGCGGTGTGTGGAGAAATTGAGAGGTTTTGAGCCGTTCTTCCGTCTTTTCAGTTCTCTGGAGTTTTTGAAGTTTGAAGGGATAGTGGGCTATTAAGTTTGGGTTGTAAGTTTTATTTTTTTTAAAAAGGGGAAAAAATTGGGCACCCTTAAAATTTGGGCCTGAGGCGGAAGCGCTCCTAGGCGTCGCCTAGGAACGCCTTGGCGAGCATTAAGTGGTCAACATTGTCGTTAACCGCTTAATTCCTGCTTAGGCTCAAGGCGAAAATGCGCCTAGGCGACGCTTAGGAACGCCTAGACGAGCATTAAGCGGTCAACGAGGCTCAAGGCGAAGCGTTTTCATCAAACTTCCCGCCTAAGCGTGCTTTTTAGAACACTTCTTTATTTTATGGTTTGCTACATGATCATTTTCAACCACACATCACACAATAAAATATTCTACGTGTACCACACGTTCTCCTAGAAATCACTATTCAAAACTTTTTTTCCTACAATAATGGTTGTCAAGCAGGCTCTAAATTATTCTGCTGCTTTGAGCCTCTTTGGGGTTTTCAAGAGTAATTATATCAACCTCTTTAATTTTGACTCTTTTGAGGAATAAGTACATTACTCACCCTTAACATCAGTTTATCATAGACTGAAAACTTTCAGACGCTCAATTAGGCTCTATGAATAAGAATTTTGGTTACTAGTGCGCATAAAGACTAAATTATCTTGCATGTCACATGAAACATACCTTGATTGCTTTCGGGAAAACTCCACAACAAACCTTTGATTACTGATGAGAGAGTTATGAGGTAGAAAATTTTCTAGAAACAAAAATAATTTAAATAAACAAAATAAATTCTTCCCTCTTTTACTCTTTTTATATGAATTATGTCTTTTCTATTAACATTTAAATCCTGTTTATGGAAACGTCATTTTCCTCGTATTGTATTCTAGACACATGAAATAGTTCGAGATACTGATGAATTGTTCTCTTTTTCTTTTTGGGGTTAGTAATATACCATACAGTTGGCTGTTTCCAAGATGTACTGCTGCTATCCATCATGGGGGAAGGTAAGGTTTCTTAGGTTTCCTTTGCCTCCCTTTTTAATTGCCGTGATTCTGCTAAAACATTATACACACTCCCGTGTTTCTATCTCTACACCAGTGGGTCCACTGCTGCTGCTCTGCGAGCAGGAATTCCTCAGGTTTGATTCACAACTGAGATGTGTTTCTATTGCTTAGCTTGCTCGCTGTCTGACATCCACCTGACACTCGGGTGGCAATCCCTGACAGTAGTTGCTCAAAGTTGTGTGAACGGACTACTTCTAAATCCGAGTTTCCATAGGAGAATAATTAATGGAAGAACAGTTATTTTAAAAGAGAAAACAAGTTCATACTGGTCTCTTAACTATCCACAGACTTCTGAAGTTTCTTTCATAAGCAACAGCTGCAAAATCTAAATCTAGAAGAATCTTTGACAGATACTGAATGCAATGCTAGGCAAAGAAAGATTTTCAATGGCTGTCAGAGAAAGAAATCTATGCTGCATTGCTCCAAGAATATATTTATATGCATCTCTATTATTGCCGAATTCATTTTTCTGAATAATGGGAAATGAGCGCAATTGTCAAACTATGTATTAATTCCATGGAGTTGTAACCAGTAATATCATCTGCCACACTTCTATTGGTCAATGTGCTTCTTGAACAATGCCATCTGAGCCACTTGCTAAAAGATCATTTATGTTGCAGAATCAAATTTATTTTAAGTCCATATATCGATGGCTTCTGCTTCTCTAAGCACTCAATGGACACAGAACTAGTTGTTCTTTGATGGCAGGTAATCTGTCCATTTATGCTGGACCAGTTTTATTGGGCAGAGAGAATGTTTTGGCTCGGTGTTGCACCAGAGCCACTAAACAGTAACCAATTGCTCCCAGATAGAGATGATGACTGCTACGTCAAAGAAGCTGCATATATGCTAGCGAAGGTCTTAAACTCTGCATTGTCTTCTCAAGTGAAATTGCGCGCTTCAGAGATCGCTGAAAGAATTTCCACTGAGGTATGTTTGTTTTTTCAAATATTCATTCTTCAACGTGGGGAAGATGTGCAGTTGGCATTTGAAATGGGGTCCTACTATTTACTCGACAGCCTTCTTTTAACCTGAAGGTTTTTTGGTTGCTCCAATATCAAAATGCTACTTTCTTGTCAATCAGCAAGAGCTGACTTCTTTGTGTATGTTTGCCCTTTTCCAGGACGGAGTTTCAGAAGCTGTACGGATAATTAAGGAAGAGATAACCCGTACTGATGGTACAAATAGATGCTAAAGAATGATTTTACAAAATCTGGTAGGAAATAGATGGTCTATGATCCCTGTAGTTGGAATGTCCTTTAGTAACCTTGACCATGGGTTTGATTGTCTCTTCAAGAACTTCTCCTAATAGAATCAAATCTCATCCGTTTTTTTTTTTTTTCAAAACTTAAAAGAATAACGACATAACAAATGAACTAACTGCTGACTGGTGAACAGTTCCGGGTTTTTTTTTTTTTTTTGGGCTAAGAACTAAAAAGAAAACTGAAAACTGCTGCTGTTGCTGTGATGAATTCTTTTCTTCTTTCTGCTGTTGTTAAGTTTTTATTTTTTTTTTGGATAAAGGTAGTTGTATGGCTTGGATGGGTGGTGGAAGGTTGTGGTGTGTGGATTGGATGAAAACGGTGATTGTTTAAGGGTTGTGGATTTGATTTGTTGGTCAAAGTAATGATGTGAGCTCTGATACCAAATTTACGCCGGTTGTATGGGAGAATTATATGAGAAGGGGAAAGGGGAGAGAAAGGAGTGGAAAAGG